TCATTTATTAGTATAAGTTTGGAGATTCTATTTATGCAGTTACAGTAGCTAATGTGGTTTTGTTTGCGATTTTGGTTGACGAATGTATTTATGATGTACGCGGACCTCCTCTTTTCGTGTTCAGAGGTCATTCGCCTCTTGTGATTTCCAAAATATTTGCATTTTATTATAAATGCAAGACTAACAATCGGAAAATCCAACAAACAAAATGAAAAATATCACTATTGCTTTTTAAATTAATCGTGAATGAATAATATAATGTCTACATACATTTTTGAAATTTCACTCAATTGCTTTTACCAAAGCTGAACAAATTAACTATTTATTTTAAGATTTTATAAATCTAGTATTTTTAATTCTTTGAATAATTAAAATTTTAAATACTCAACCAATATTGTGATATACGTCAAACACACGTGGACATAATATTTAAAAATACATACTTATATGGTTTATTTTTTTTATAAAACATATATGTATGATTAATAAATAATTCTTGTAAATCACTAACATCATTGTATATATTTCTTTTGTTACTTTTTTGAACGAAATCAAACAAAATGTCTTATTTTTTATTTATAAAAACACACATTCGAGATAAATTTTAAGTAAATTATCTTCGACTTTATTATTATAATTAAATATAACTCGTATCGTTACTAAGACTGAAACGTCGTTTGGCAAAAATATTTCGAGGGACTAAACTCAATGTTACGACTCCCAAATTTCTTTTATAATATATTTCGTAAAATTTTCCTGAATTTTTTCTGAGGCGCTTAGCCCCCGAAAGTTTTGTGTATGCACAGACTCAATAAACACAACAGGTTTTAAATTTTATAAATGACATTTGTATTTAAATAATTTTAATCGTACAATTATCGAAACAACAACATCGCTATAAACTTCAGGTCAGATTATAACCATTGAAAATGGATTATTGGTCAAGTAACATTAATTACTTGTACCTCGAGTGCGTTAAACACAATTTCATTGAAGCTTTCGGGATGAATAGTTCATATAGATGAAGGATTAATAGAACACTAGCGCGATTGAAGTTTTGATAAAAAATGCATTATTCAAACGAACAAAAAAACAATATCAACAATAATGTTACAGTTCGACAGCTTGAATAGGCGTCGTTCACACAAAACTAGTTGAGGGTCAACGAACTTCTAATCATACGGAGAAGGGTAAGCGACGACCGACTATAGTGTCGGACGACGATAGTGTTGGACGACTGCTTATATAATACAAGTATATATATATATATACACTTGTATTATATAATATATATATATATATATACTTTTAGCTGACGATGGCGACAACGATAGAGGAACACCACGAGTCGCAAGACGTAGCGGAGGAGTGTAAAACGGAGCAGGTCGTTGAACCCGAGGAACATCTATACTCTATCCCCATAGGCTCAGTCTGTAAATATTGCTGGACATATTTTTATTGGATGTGTGTGCGTGATACTGTTGTTATAATTATTATTGCGCAAAGATCAGTTCGTGAGTCTTCGGCAAACGACTGAAACGACGACAAGACCACACAACAGCAAAATGCACACATATTATTTTGAAATCGAAATAACCATCCCGTTTATAACAATGAGTACTCCCAGTAATCCCAATATTTTGTCTCTTAAATCTAAAAATAGCACTCTATTAATGTGACCGTGTCGGTCATTATTGTTTAATAGTGAATATTTAGAGTGAAATAACTGTGCCAGTACAGAATATATTATCTTTTAATAGTGTTAACGGACTGAAAAATGTCTAAGCTCTCTTCTGTATGAAACGACAAATTATTATGATTTTGCGGAACTGTCCCACTAAATAATTAATAATTTTTGAAAAACTCTTTATTGTTTATAAATATCTATCTATTAGATATCTAATATATCAACATTAAGCATTTCTTATGTTAACAAAATACGCTTTGAACATAAACCTTTACGATTAACTTGAAAAATAGCATGTATTGTGTTATCATTTGTTATCTAAAACTAAATATTTTTATTTTTCTTAAATTGAAGTTATATTTTTGTAAATATTGGGAAATAAATTTATTTTTTCAAGTGTTTTTCTCATATTTCAGGAAAATTTTTCGTCATTTTGCTTTCTGAAAACAAAACATTGAAAAATATCATTAAGATATTAATTTTTAATTGTTAAAAATTGTAAATATTACGCAATTCTTTCCATTATAGATTTAAGAAATTTACTCTATAGAGAAAATAAGTTTAATGTTTTACTGTCAAAAAATTAATAGTCAATTATTTTTAATATATTAAATGGTAGTTTTTTTTAATAATTAGAAATAAAAATGATTGCTTATTATATGGTTTTCTTTAAAGTTAAGCAAAAATATTTTTATTTAAATCCATGTGTAATTCTTAGATTTGTCATTCATTATTCAACAAAAATTTTTTTTATTTGACTTGTTTTTTAGGCTTTATTTAAATGGTACACAAAGCTCTATTTATTATGTACAAAACCTCTGTATGTAAATTATATTTTATAACATGAACTATCTTTTGCAAACAATATTTGACATCTACTATTTATAATTTGAAAATGGTGTCAAACCAACAATAATTTTTTGGCTGACAATAAATTTACTTAAACAAGTGAATAATAAAAATAATAAATAAATAAGTAAAATAAATAATTATCATTCAAACAAGTGTCCCCTAATCCAAAAATCCTGGACACGACCTGTATGAAAATAATTGAAAACTGACCAACAAATAGTTTTTATAATGCAAATATTCTCTGTATCTTAAGTCATATTTATTCAATAGTCAACTAAATATACTAGAAAGCATATGTAGTTGTATCGATAAATTTCATTAACATTTAGTGTTATTTCCAAAATATTAAACAATACTTATAAATTATAATCAATCTGACTAATTCCAATGAAAAGTATTCAATTCATTTTAATATATTATAATTTAATAATAAAAAATATTTAAGCGAGAGAACAAGATTAAAGAGTATTAAGTATTTTTATAAAACATTACTAATAATTAAATTTTGATTAATTTATAGGGATAATAAAATCAAGAAAGTTTCGTTTAAGAATTAACAAAATTGTCAAAACTTGAAAAATGGACCAGTTTTAACTTTAACTTTGTTAGATTATTTGATAATGTCGGTAGTTAAACTATAAGAAACTTCAAGAATACACGTTATAATTGAATTTAGTATTAGCTCAAATGTTTATTTTTTGGGCTAAGAATGCGATGTGACTTGTGCCAATGCTATAAAATAATATTGTCGTATTCTTGGCAATGTCTCTATGCCAATTGCTTAACACACTTTGATATATTGACGCAGGTAAGTGATGTCGCCCCGTTTGTAAACAAACAAGGTTGATGTTAAATAATGGCATCATGCCCATTAAATAATTGTTTTGGCTTTTTAATTAACTATTACCAAATTATAATAAGAAAACCAAATTGGTAATTTATTGAAACAATTAATTCACAGCAATAAAAATATTTTTAATAAGTACTACCATATTGAAAATGGCGAAAATAATTTAAACAAATTGAAATGTTTGTATAATGCTGAAAAATAGTTTAAAAGTTGTATTAGATACTCTGAAATCGAAGGACACCTCAACATAATTTTATATTTACCTAATGAATAACAACAAAATTTAGAAGGATTTCAGTTTTATTTTTTTAGTTCTACAATTGTTAACTTAAGAAAATTAAAATAGAATTGTGACATCAGATATTATATTTTCACGTCAGATCCCATATTTTTTTATTTAAAATCATTGCTATGTAGTAATTTTTATAAAAAAAAAAATTATTTTGAATACGCCTACGTTTTGTACAGTAACGTCCAATAAAATTTTAAATAATTTTTCTAAGTTACCTACTAAAATAAAATATAGTTTAGAACTTTTTGCGTGACAAGATAATATTGAAATAATCGTAATAAATTGACTATGGTTATTCTAGTGTTAAATCTACTTTTTAATTAGATAAATCATTTCAAAAAAGCCACTAATACCCTTAACTAATTAATGCAAACTTTAATATAGTTCCAAGTATAATTTTGTCAATGCAATAAAATAATTTTAGTGTAATTTGATTAACTATTAACTTATTTTTAATCAAGCAAAATTTAATACTTGTACATAGCTAATAGTTTAAATAAAATTATTTGTTAAATAATACGATTTAGGTTTTGGAGGTTTATACTCCGAAACACGTATCACAGATGCTTTAAAAGCGTTTATAATTTGTCATAATTAAAAAATAGATTTGGATATTTATTACATTTTAGCTTTAATATTAATAATAATAAATTTTAGCTAGAAACATTATCAGAGCCTTTAAAATATTCAAAACCAATATTATTTATTTAGTGTACAATGTTATGCAACTCATGCTCAGACTGAAAAACTAATAAAAAAAAATTTCAAAGTATATGTTTAAAAAACTTTAAACAATAGAATTCTAGTTATTGTCGAACTAGAAAGGCTAATGAGATCCAAACACCAATGATATAATAACATATAATTAAAATTAAACAAATGGATATTACAGAAATTAAACTATACGACAAAAGTTGGGTTATAGAATATTTATGACATTTTCTCTTTATTTCTATGTCTTATAATTCATTTCAAATATGTAATTCATTTTTTTTTTCTATCATCTATAGTTAGCCTCAATTCCATAATTAGTAAAATAACTGCTTTACGCATAAAATGTGACCAAAAAATAATAATAAAAATGTATTTATCAATAAATTTTTAATTTTTTTGGAGTCAATATAAAAAAAAAGAAGCTACAAAATATATTTTTTCTAAGAATTTCGTAAAGAAATTGTTAAAATGCTTCAGTTTTCACATGCATTAAATTCTTCATTACTTGTATTTTTAAATAATTATTAAAAAATATCTATTTGACTTATTATAATAAGTCAAAGAAATTTTAATATAAAATTATACTACAACACATAAACTTTGACTATCTTTTAATAATAATATATTTCAACAAACGCAGACATTGTAAAACATAATGAAGTTCCATAATAAAAGATACGAGGTAGGAAAAAAATATATATCTACAAAAATGTTATCTCAACATGAGACATTATACTCAATCTAATATAAATTAAAATCAGATTAATTGTCATGTGAATAATATAGTTAAAATTATGGGGTTTCCATAAAATCCATAGGTAGTTCTCCGGTTTGTGAATCTTCAATTTTGATAACAACGTTTTTCTTTAAGTTATGACTGGCTATTCTAGTGTTCACGTCCAACATGCCCATTTGACCAAGAAACATAACTTCGTTTATCAGTCTTTTAGCAATTATCACTGACTGTCGATCCATCTGCCGGAGTTCATTCGCAGCGTAACGACCGAAACCTTCGTAATAATCTCCGGGTGGTTCGCCAGGACCGCCTACCCCTCCAACAATATGGGGTTCGAAATTTTCGCAAAAACGTTCAGGGTTAATTTCTAGTACGCGCCTTCTTTTTTGACGCCTCTGTGTCACATTCTGCGTTAACGTAACTGTTGGATTAGCAGCACCAGGCGGCAACTCTACTTCAGTTGAGTACGAATCTTTATCTTCGGATCCGAGTCCGTCTTCGTACACAATATTTTGAGTCTAAAAATAAATATAAAACACGTATATATTTATATATGTGTGTTATAATTTAGTTCAAATTTTTAGAAGGTATACTATTGCGATTTTAAGATTTTTATTTGGGAATATAGTGTTAAGAATTGATTACTTGCGGCTAATATCATTTAAAATAGTTTTTAATAACCAAAGTAAAAAACTAAATACTAAAAACAAAACACTTATTTTTAATTAAGAGATCCAAGACTTGAGCATTCACGTAATATATGATAACAGAGAAATGTTCATATTTAGTTATAATGAAACGAATAATTTTTCAATATGCCTACGGAGTACATTTAAATTTAGTTAAACAGTCAAAATTATAATTTTATAATTTTAAATCCCATTTTCATAATTAGGTTGCGTCAGTTTGATAGCCGATGTAAAAACCTGTCAAATAGTAAGGTACGGCCAATCACAAGTAGTTGGAATAGAAGCTAAGCAGATGATGGAGTTATACATTCTCCATGTTGTAGTTATCTGTTATTATCTTTAACACTAATTTATGCTAAATTCACGTTACTACCTTTAAAGCGTCTTACTTACAAGATTACAAGTGGCATGCTAAACGTCTCGAAAATCATAAGCATTTTAATCCTCTCGATCAATTTAACAACTTTTCATAGTAACTTGATGTGTAAACATGATTAGTATCGTATCGTCATTAGTGACTAAGAAATTATTTATGGTAGAACGTCAACTATAAATCTATCGGAATCTCCAAAATGTAATCAATACTGATACAAAAAGGGTGTAGTGTGACGCAGTGGACACGTCAGATGCTCTCAAGCTCTGAAGTTAAGTTTCGCCTGCCACTGTAAGTTGTACGATGTATTGCCACACGGTTTCAACAAAGACAAAACTATGTCCCCTTGTACAAAAGACAAGTGGAATAATCACTGTACTTAATAAAGTCCTAGGAAACACCAGTCCAATTTTCAAAAATTGACTGGTGTTAACCAACTTTAAGGTTGAAAAAAAATGTTACAATAAAACTCCCCTACCTCGTTAATGGATTCATTTTCATCGTCGCTATTTTCGGCATAACTACGACCCAAACGTACTTTATCATCACCTACATGCTGATCATTCAGGAACTCCAATGATCTTTTAAAAATAAAAAATTAATTATTCCAAAACATGTAAAAATAAATAATCTAATTCTCACTTGTAATACCACAAGCTGGGTTCATACGTTTCACCATATTTCTTAGCATCAACTACTTTTTTAAATTCTCTCAGGTAACATGTTCTTAGGTTGGCTATTTTCCTCTTTAAATCGTCCATTGTACAATTTTCATTATATCTGAGTAAGAAAAATAGTCAATCACTCACACAAATTTAAATTAGAAACAAAAAATAATTTTAACATAGATGAGATAAAGGGTAAGAAAATATGACGTATTACCAAAATACAGAATTATTGTTAACAGTGTGATAATATTACATTATTTTGTAACACTGACGGAGTGCAGATATACTAGTACGAGCTGTACCCACCTGTGCTATATACCTACCTATGTATTAAAATGTTATAACTGATGAAAAAAAAAATTATGTACCTATATACTTTTGTACAGTTTTTTAAGTGAAACAATATTTTCTTTTATAAAAATCAAAAGTTTTTGATAGTTTTCAAGAAAATTAGTGTTTTATCCCTAACGAATTATCATATATTTTTTAAAACAATATTCCACAGACAGATGATTTAGAAATATGTTACAAAACTTAACCAACAAGATTGGTCAAGAGCTTTGTTCTAGTAAAACGCAATGATGGAGTAGGGATATAACTTCGTTTACTATAAAACACAGTTAATTATAATACGTTTAACAATTTTGTGTAATTTTTAAGGCTTTAGTTGATTTATTTATTTCATTCCTATGAATTTATATAGGAATAGATTAAATTGTTGTGGTATAAAATAAAGAATGAAAAGAATACGTAAAAAAATAATACATACCCTTTTTTTGATAATTCAAAATGAAAATGTTTTTTAATATTTTATTATTCTAAAAAAAAAAAATGATTATTTTTCAACACGCCCCAGCCAACAACTAATTTTTCAAGTTACAAATTACAGTTATAAATAAGCAAGTTTTTTTCATTATACATAGAAATGTTAATCCATAAGGTCTACTTTAGAATGAAACGAAACAAACTTTATTTTTCATAAGAAAAAATAAATTCTAAAAAACATTTGTTGTAGGAGCGAAAATAATTTTTATATTATATCAGAGGATTAGATAGAAAGATTATACACATTATCAAATTTAATAGTTATAATAACAATAAGTAACATATATAAGATGACAGCTAACATAATATAAAATATTACACAATCGAACGAAAATTAATGTAAAGTAAAATAAAACCTGGAAATTACATTACATTTATAAAAAAAATTGATTTCTGTCAAATTCAATAACTTTTTATTATAAGGTCAAGATAATTATATTATTATTGTGCTGTCGAAAAATTATTATTTTCTCAATTGTTAAATGAAATTTTAATTGAACAGCAAGTGCTATCAACAAAAAAAAATCAATGTTTACCAAATTACATTATTCAATAAATATACTTACTGAATTTACTGAATGTAGAGTCTATAGACTCTCTACATAAAACAAATCAAAATTTACTAATAAATACATATATAAAAATTACCGACTAGTTTTTTTCTTAATTAAATTATTTCTTATTTTATAAACTAATTAAATATGTATGTTGATATTTAAAAATAAAGTTGACATCCCTTTAAGTTATAAGGGATGATTATACAAAGTAATTATTAACTGATAAATCAAGAAACATATGAAACAATTAAAAGAAATCAAACATTTTTGTTCAATGTATTTATATTTTGAGAGTAATCGAATGGTTTATGATAAACCGATCAATTTGTATTTACAATGTTACTCTCTTTTATCACGAACAAAATTTACTTTATTGGTATCTTTTAGAAATTTATTATGTTCTTTTCTCAATTTATCATGCAGTATATTTTATGATCATCCCTTAAGCCTTATAAGGGTATTACCTCAAATTTTTAAAATTAAAACGTACCTAATTAATTATCTTGTATTTAGATAATCAGTGGCGTGCCCAGAAATTTTAAATGGGGAGGGATGTCATAACTAAAAGGTATTAATAAAACTAAATACATTTAATGGGGGTGAAAGAATTAGAAAAAGATTAATAAGGGGGCTTTAGAGGTCAAGCCTCATTAAAATATTTATTAATATTTTGTGTTTTGTATGATATGATGTAATGTTGTTATACAAATATACAGTGTAATAATTACAACTTTATTCAATTATTGCTGTTAGGTACTCGATGCTAGAAAATAAACGTAATGGGAAGGGATATGACCCCTACCCCCCCTGAGCACGCTACTGTCGATAATGATCTAATTAAAAAAATGACTGGTCGATAAAAACTTTTGGACCAATATTTCTGAAGTTTTGACATTTTTATACGTAGGCGGGAAAGAGGCCGAGAAATATTTTGTGATAAAAATAGCAACACCCGCACTTCATATCCAGTAATTACTTGTTAATCTCTTCCGAAAACTTGTTAAACATTTGTTATCTAACAGTAATTTTCTAATAAAAAGCTAGTTAATTATGTGCATTGTCATTTGAAAAAATAAAACATCCAACACAAATAATTGCAAAAACCTTTTTGTTGTGTATCAGTTTTTGCGTATAAACATGTACGATATGTATGTGTACAAATTCATAAACTTAAACAAAACCCGATAATGACTAAAAAAAAAAAAAATATATTAAAAGTTATAAATAACTTATCAGGTATTTTACTTGGTAATAAATAATAATCAGCGTTTCATAACACACAGATTTTTAAGTACTGAATGTAAAATAAGTAAACAAAAAAATGGTACATTTCAATAAATTGTAAAAATATAGTGAAAAAATAGGAATTCATCATACGAAATAAGCATTCACACACGTCGTTTATTTTTTCCGTTCATTTCACAACGGCAGGCGAACTTTGCTCGGAAAATGATAGCAACGACCACAATACAACAATGTGACGATGATGATTAAATACAGTAAGCAGTACAGCGGCGAAGGAAAATCGTATGTCAAAACAGACATTATATTTTTGGGTGTTGCAGTCAGCGACTACATTACAACTTTTAAGTATAGTAAAATAAGAGGGGAGTTACAGTAAAAACCGTACAAATGTTGTTCGTTCGACAAAGATGAAAAACGGGGTAGTCGTTGTATGGTCTGGACGCTATGCGATACGTAGTAGTAAACGATACCATTACATATTCGAGTAAAATCGAATAAAAATCGATAGGCAATCATCTCGGGAAAAGCGCATAACAATCGACTCCCCCCCCTCGGGTCAAAAGGCGGTATAATTATGCGATGGAATCACAAACAAAACAGTAGTGCGAGGTGTAATCGGCATCAAAACTACTACCGGTTGTAGTTTTAGAGATAAACATTACACACATACTTCCTGATTAACACCAAAAGAGATTCGTACGCTTCATTTTTCAATTCTTTGTTTTTGTACTCCGGATCTTTTATTCTCCACAAGCAAGTGTACGTTTTGTATTCTTCGATGAGTTCTGAAATTAGTTTTCTTTCCATGGCTACGATCATATTACAACGCGTATGTAATAAGTAAAATAATTATCAGCAAGGACTTATGATTGGTCATTAACACAATAACCTAACCGTTGTCGACAACGAGACGAATGAGTCGCGCGCAAAGTACGCAAACCGTACGGATGTGCACGACGTACAGTACTGGCCGATGGTCGGCGACCGATTTGTTGTGCTGTCGACATCAGTTTGTCAGCGGGTTGGCCAACCTGCCGGCGCGACTGCACGACCGACACCGCGCCCGATTTGTCTTCCTATGGCGCCCTCTCTGCGGCCCCCAAACCGAGCCCGACTTCAACTCGGTAATGTATTCAGCCTTAACACTATGATATGACTCACACTATTTACATACGACTGAGGATGAGACGCAATAAGCTTATGATGTGAAAAATAATTTTGATATTATAAAAATAATCACTACAACTACATCTGAGAATACTGAAAAAAGTATGATAAATACTTGTAATGTACTATATTAGTACATTAGTGTAGCAAAACACATTTTGTCACAAAGTTTGCAGTGTATCATAAAACATGAATTAAATAAAGTATGCTAGACAATTATTCGAATTTTCGTTATCATATTAGTTATATTAAATACAAATTTTCGATTTAAAACAAAAATGGTAAAACTCATTTTTCTGTAAGATATAATTCATTATTTCTTTTTATTAATAACAAATACTGTTACGAATTCAGTTTTATAGTTTCGACATATTACATTGTACAGAATGTCATTTTCACTATGAACATGTATAACTCGAAATAAACAAATTTTGAGTTACTACACTGAAAGTTAAATTTAATCATACCGATTATTTACAACTACTTGATCATTCAAATTGTTTTTAATGTGTAAATAAATTGTCTAAATATCCATTAGGTCAACGAATTTTAACCTGAAGAATATTTAGAAAAAATTCATAAAAACTAGTCTTTATGAACGTACGTGTTCAACCAAAACACGACTCGGTTGAATAAGCTTAGAGCTTCATTATCTTAAAAATAACTTTTATTTTACTCTTTATGATTTATTTGTTTATAAGAACAATTTCTAAATCGTGTTTATAAATTATAAAAAATGAAATGTATAAAAATATTTTATTTAAAGAAAAATTATTTTAAATATTAAGTTTAAAAAGAAAGTTGTCATGCAAATATTACTGCATTAAAGTATATTTTTTGCATTAATAACACCTATATTAATGTTTTTCTTCATTAATATAAAAAAAATAAGAAAAACTATAAAAAAACAGTAGATGGACAACTTTAAGAAATAATTTTCGGAATGAAAATTGACGTAGTATTATTTTTTGTAGAAATCGGACAAGTAGGTTAACAGTAAAAGAAAAATGCTAGTTTACCTATGAGTTTTCAATAACTGCAAAATTTTATTTTTTATTTCTTGTTAATTATCATAATTAAACTATACAGGGTGTAAAGTTAGTAACGAAACACGTTTCTAATGTTCTCATTGTTTCTAAAACAATTGACCTAAAAAAAATTGAATAAGAAGAAAAAGGTTCTTTACTTATATATAAATTGGCTCCCTCATATGCCCAAAGATCCAACCCTGGTTGTTGCAAATGTGGAAAATTCTGTATTATCACATCCATTAAACTATGAAACCATAATAAAAAATATAAAATTATTATTTATTTTACATGATTATTTTATTAAAAAATAAGTAAATGGTTTGTCATAACGAATCAATTCAAAGAATGACGCATTTAATAAAAAACATTAAGACTATTTTGTAGCCTTCTCGTTATACATTATAAAAGGTCTTGCAAAAAATGTTTGCGTGTTGCCCTGTGATTTCTGGTGAAAATGCCGTGTGTATACATTCAACATATAATTTTTTGGTGTAATGCCTTTTATGTAGCCTACAGCGATCAATTAAGAATATTGTATCCAATTACAAGGATTTTGATTTACTGCAGTTCGCATGACAGTGATGAATATAGTAATTATACAATAATGATAGCTGTTGTAATCAAATTGGTGTATGTGACACTTTTATCTTCTTTTTCTTTTTTTGCTTAAAATATGAATGTGACTTATGAACACTTTATGTTAACTGGACTTCTGGTTGACAAATCACTTCTCTAAATAAGTTTTATCTTAATTTGTAATTCATACCTTTGCACTTATCTAAAAACAGATTCTTTAAAATATAGTACTTTAGTTATTCAATGCAGATAGCCTTTAGTTTATTTTAATAAAAAATATATAAAACAAAATATACTTAACACTGAATTGTTCATAAAATTTCATAATATTTTTGCATTTCTATGGCTTCTTAATATTTTGATTTTCTATGGCTTCTTAATGTTTTGCATTTCTATGGTTTCCTAATGTTTGCATTTTTATGGCTTCTTAATGTTTTGAATTTTTATGGCTTCTTTATATTTTGAATTTCTATGGCTTCTTAATGTTTTGCATTTCTATGGTTTCCTAATGTTTGCATTTTTATGGCTTCTTAATATTTTGCATTTCTATGGCTTCATAATATTTTTGCATTTCTATGGTTTCCTAATGTTTGTATTTCTATGGCTTCTTAATATTTTGAATTTCTGTGACTACTGAATATTTTTTCATTCCTTTGGCCTTATCTAAAATCGTCTAGCGGATCTCATCTCATGGAAGATTCAAAATCCATTAAATATTAAAAACTGATTAAAAATGTGTATATTTATATCTTTTAACTTAATATAGTTCTACTGTGAAAAAAAAATCTCGTTAGGATCTTTCTGTTCCTATTCTAAGGCGATTAATTTTAGAGCTTTTAAAGTGAAAACAAAAGTATGTCCTAAAATGTGAGCTAGTAGTAATATTATTTTATTGGAAATACATTTGCTATTAAATTTCACTATACCCGCACTTAGATGGGAAAAAAAAACAATTTTTTCTATGGATTATGTTCGTTATACGGACAAAATTGTGAGACCAATATTTTTACATGCGTATATACTATTCTCTTAAATAAATTACAGAAAACTTATGAAGGGATACTTATGAATGTTGTTTTAACTTCTATACGGAATGGATCATTTATTTGACAAGAAATTACTAATTTTGATTTTAAAATGGAAGTTATAAATGTCATCAACCTTGTTTTCAATCAAGTAAAAGTTATGAATGTTTTTATATTTGTGTCAGTCTGCATTACGACAAATACAAGTAGGGTTTTTCTTAATTGAATAAAGATAACGAATATCAAAATAGTGTAAAATGATAGTTTTTTACTAGTTGTAGATACATCTAATGAAATTATAATTATGTATACGACATTTTCTCAGGAATTACTTCCACTTATTTTGTATTTTGAAGTAACATTTTTAAACCAATGTAAAATGTTATGATTTTTCTCAGTTATGCTATTAAATTCTAAAATAGCTAACCTGGAGGCCTTTGATCTCTCACCCTCTGATTTTAATTATGCAGATATGCTATTCTACATCAATTGTTTTTTAGGATTTTTATGAAATTAAAATAATGATATAAAAATTAAATAATTGAATTGTCCAATAAACCTAACAGTTATTTTATAATGTAAACTATATAATTTTCTATATTAGTATACATTAAATTATTATAAAATGTTTATAATCATAACAGAAATAATTAGTTAAAAAAATATTTGTAGAAACATAAAATTATAACTAAATATTTTGTGTGTTAATAAATATGAAACTACAATAGTACTTAAAGAAAAGAGTAAAAATTAAAATGGGTATTAACACCCCATACTATAGGGCAAGTGTTTGATAAAATTTTAGAAAAAAAATTCTAAGAACTATTTACTCCAGTGGCGTTGCCAGGAGGGCTAGTTGGGCTGCAGACGTTCCTCCGACATTTATACGATGACCGAAGTTAATTGAAATAATAGTAATTTTAAGAATTACTTTTGTATAACTTGCTTTTATTTATAGTTTTAGTCATTTCCAAACACCCGACATTTTTCTCTGAACTACAAACAAAATTACCCAACTGTACAAACATTGTTCAACTGCACTTTCAATTATAATCTGACGAATGCAAAAAGAAAGGTACACCTTAATTATTTTCTCAAATGTCAGACACTAAAAAATGAATCGTCCGCATAGGACTAAGAATTTCAATGAGTAATAGAATAGTTATTTTGTGAATTGGTCGAGTCAGCTATTCAAGTTTCTGGTCTGTTTTGCGATCGTTGCAGTTGAACGATTGTTGTGTTATTCACTCGAAGAAAAAATAAATAAAAAAAAAACAAAAGTCAAACTACTCAAAATAAAGTTTATGAAGCGTATATTCAGCATGAAAATAAATTGATTACCAATCAACAATTAATTGAAATTGTTTGCATTCAACTTTGAAAATTTTACTCGTTCAAAGTAGTTTAGTATATTACAATGGTATTGAATGAAATTACAACTTTTTTACCTAAAAGTGTGTCCGCCTCATTACTGTTGTAAAATAAACTTTTCAATAGCACAAATTGTCAGCGGTTTATATTTTTCCTATATGACCGTGTAATTGTTCTACAACCTTTTTTTATTTTTGGTTTATGAAACAGTTTCCTCCGCCCGTTTTTGTGCAAGACATTTATTGATATAAATCCAAATCACGTTACAACTGTATGGAAAATGTGCAAAAAGTCACGAGGATTGCGAGACCTACGCGACTGTATTCAGTGACAAGTAACAAAAAATACTACAAGGGATTTATGAGAACCGGTGCATATGATCACATACTAAAAGACTCGAGAAGATGTCCAACAGTTTTCATGGCGGTTCTAATGTCATCGCGGTACAATTATAATCCGGTGTCCAATGCGCGATGGACAACTCCGCAAGAGACACCATGACACACGATTATGTCCAGTGGCTAGCAATGATTTGCGAGGTCCTGTGTAAATTAAATATGCGTGGAGGCGGCTCAAACCCAATCAACGGAATAACTTTTTCTATGTACTCCCTACACGTTACTCGCACAGGTAGCATACCTGGGATAGTGTCAAATCGGATGCGTCAGGCCGTCTAAATACCAAACGGAAAGACACCGCAATGTCGTATGGCCACCGCCTTTTTCACAGATACCACTTTCGAGATAACCGTCTTCTAGTGCCCTGGTACTATTTTTCTAGTTTTCATTACGAAATAGCGCACTACTCTTTCTGAATTCCTGGTACCGTTTTTACAGAATACAAAGAGTTATTAGTCTCGCATTATACCTTTGGGTATATTGCCTACACGAAACGCCTGAAAACGAGAGCGCTTCAATTGAAGTGGATTTTTTATCAATTTAAAATTTGTTTTAAAATTATACGACTACAATGAATACGTAATTTCTTTCTTATATTTTAATTCAGTTTTGAATTGACTTGTTTTAAAAATTATTAATTACAAAAAGTAATTATAGGATTAAAAATACTGAAGGAATTAGTAGAAATCTAGTGATTACAAGTAACTTAAATGTTTCGAAAACAAAATTTTATTGCAATAAAAGATTTTTCAGTCTCTATTGGATAATTTTTCGGTGTCCAAAAAAATAAATTCGAAATATTTTTAAAAATCTGTTAAATATTGCAAAATTGTTGTTTATTATATTTCTAATATATCATAATTTTCAATTTAAGAAACGAGAGAAAACTAATTGCCAAAATCTCTCATTCTTTAAAACAGAAACATTTACATACGAAACTTTTTAATTTTTTGTTCATTATTTTTTTTGGAAAGTTAAAATATACTTTAATGGTATTTGGAATAAAATGTTTAAATAAAGAATGAGTTTGTAACCAAGATAATTTTAAAAACATCTTTAGGCCATATTAATAATACAACAACTATGCCATTAAATAAAAATCTCATAGAAGAGAAGCAGGCTTTAGCTAAAAACTTGCATATCTAGAAAAAATTATGGTTTTACACTAGAAAAAAACCTATAGAACTCAACAAAAAATTAGTATGATGTGTTCCCTCTTTATCGTTGTAATTCAAATGCATTATTTACTTTCTATAGAACTTTTTTTCATTGACCTCTTGACTACTGAGATACTATTTATAACGAGTCAAGAATTTTAAAATAGTCTTTATGACTAAACATACGATTAATATAGTTTTTTGATTATATTAATTCAGTTTATAGTTTTCATAATTTAATAAAAACAATATAAATTTGGTTACTTTTATGTGAACAAAAATCACATTATATTATTAATTATTGTACAATCTTACAGTGATAACTTATAATTAAGACCTTATATAATATGTAATACATTATTTTGTAAGAGTCAGACTTCAATGACTTAAACAATTTATCATCAATAATAATAAAAAATAGCTTTAATTCATACAAAATAGTCAGATGTGGTATCATCAAGATATATTCATTATTAATGTAAAGTTTGATTTATCTTTACTATTTACACAAAACAAATTCATAAAAAAAAAAGAAAACTGCCATTTTTCCATACATTTTTTTTCTTTTTGTACAAAAAACTCATATTAACTATTTTTTTTGTATAGGTGATTCAATTTATTAACTACAACAACATTTAGGAAAACTTCTTAATTTTGTTATTGCAACAAAATTAAATCAACACAATTAACAATCCATTTAGCCATCCTATAATGTTCCATACATTTTTTATCATACCTAAAACAAAAAATTTCCATTTACTTTTTCAAAAAAATTAAAAAGTATTTATATATATATACAGATATCATAAAAACAGTTTTGAATCATACATTTCTCATTTCACTACTTGCATCGTAACTATTTTAAGTAATCATTAATCTGCTTTTCATTAAAATTTTTCTTATATAAAACAGAAATTATAAGCAATAATACAACAAATATTATTTAAAAAACAATAATTAATATATTAATACATTATTTAATTAAAATGAACAATTTTCATAATAAAATCAGAATCATATAGTTCATTCCACTTCTCGCATCGTTTACATATTTTGATTATTTAATCATAAAATTGTTCTAAAAATGTGCACGTTTTCAGATAATAATTTTCAATATTTAATCTCATAATGGTTATAGATTATATCATAATGATTCAATCTACTCGCATCATAATTTATAATCACAGATCTTATCTTTTTTCAAGGATTTTATTAATATAATAAAGTATTTAAATTTAAAACAATACAAATGAAACATTTCATTAACTTTAGTTAAAATCATAATGATTCAACCTACTCGCATCATAATTTATAATCATTAAATTTTAAATATAATTAAAAAAAATTGAACAATTTCATTAAAAATAAGAATCATATGATTCATTCCACTTCTCGCATCGTTTACATAATTCGATTAATTAATCATTAACTTGTTCAAGTTGGATGTAGTAATCAACAAATAGAGATCTTATAATTTTATAAATAAATTTAAAACTAGTATTACAATAAAAAATGGACTCTTGTCTCATTTTTTTTAGTAGCTATGGCGGCATAATTAACAAATTTCATAAAATGATAAAAATCCCTTGTTTCATTCCACTTCTTACATCATTTACTAATTAATCACAAAGTTGTTTAACATGGATATAACATATTAATTAAATTACAATTAACAATATTAAATATAATAATTTGAATTGTAATATAATTATTTGATTAAGTAATAATGTACCTTATAATATTTTATCACAAATATTGTATGATTAAATTTTTATAACATTTATAGAAAATGATTTATTATAAAATTTGAACAAATTTCATACATCAAGTTTAATCAATGGACATTCATTCCACTACTCGCTATTTATATTTGAATTAGGTAATCATAAAATTGTTCAACATTAAAAATTCCCATTGTGTAACTTACATTTTCCTTATAATAATAAAAAAAAAATTTGTAATAAAATAAGAGGTTAACTTTTTAAACATTTCACATACACTAAGTATTCATATCAAGTTACATTATATATAATTAAAATTTTATTAAATAAATGAGTCTCATTCAATTTTTAACATTGTTTATATATTCAATTTATTTAGTCATAAAAATTTCAACATTGAACAAACTATCATTAAAAATTTCACTTACTAATCTTAACATGAATAGTTATTACATAACATTTTTTCTCTTATGTAAGAATACTTTTTATACTATATATATACAGTACTTAAAATTAAACAGAAACAAATTTCATAAATTAAAATTAATCAAAGGATTTTCATCCCACTTCTCGCATCTTTTAAATATTTTAATTGACTAATCACAAATTTGTTCATTTATTTTAATTATTAACACAGTAACTACATTAAAAATCTAAAATATCATTAATTATGTTTACTTACAGGAATATTAATAATTTTCAAGTGATAGGATGTGATCAGGTTTTTCACCTTTATCATGTTTATCCCACATAGCTCTGTATAATCTTTCTAATCCATTAGCATATATGGAACAATTAAACAAAGGACTTTCAGAGCGAGCTCTCCAAACTTCAGCTCTCATGGTTTTTAAGCTAAAATAATACAAGTATTTACAATAGGAATACAAGAGATGATTAAATAAACACAAGTGTAATACTAACTATTCTTTATCAGTTCCTAATCTTATGGCAATATCTTGGTATTCTTCTTTAGTTCGTGCTATTAATTCTGGACATCCAAGTGTTGCTAATTGTGAAGCTGCTACTCTAGATGCTAAAGTTTCCCCGGGTAAAGTTACAACAGGTGTGCCTGTCCATAAAACATCCATGCTGGTTGTGTGGCCATTACAAAGAGGAGTATCTAAACATACATCTGCCAACTGACCTCGACGAACATGTTCTTCCTTGGCAGCTACATTACTAAAAAGTATGCGGCCAGGTCCAATTCCTAAATTAGTTGCTGTACTATGAATATGTGTTTCTCCAACAGCTGGAAAACGGAGTAACCAAAGTACAGAGTTTGGAACAGCTTTTAAAATCTAAAATAAAAATACATACCATTATAATAAATTAAATCATATGTACATGTATGGAGGTTATTTTTACTTACATTAACCCACATTTGTAATGTGCTTGGATCAATTTTATACAATTGGTTAAAATTGCAATACACTACTGCATCTTCCGGCAGACCATATTGTTGACGTGTAGTAATAACAATGTTTTGTGGAACTTCTTCACCAGTAGCTGCTTTATTATTTGTTTGATTTGTTGCTAAACCATTTTGTACAACAACTCCATTAACAGATGTTTGGATTTGTCCAGAAGCAATCATAGTCTATAATTTAATCAAAACGTCATTAAAATTTAGATTTATTAATTCAGTTAACTTGAGATAAACTATCTCCAATCACATTTTTCTTTTTGAAAATGAGTTGAGACTATTATTATTATTATGCATATTTTTAATGTAAACCAATTAGTATGTATATTTTGATAAATAAAATATTATATGGTTATTTACAGTTAATTTAATAACATAAATAATGTAAGTCAAAGGAATACCTCAATAGGAGTAGTTGTTGGAAGTTCAGCTACTTTGAGATTTACTTCAACTGGCCTAGTTAATTTTGAGTCAGCTATTTCAGACACAATAACTTGTTTAATTTCCTTGATATTAGTATTTTCTATAATTGGTGATAGATCAGTAGCATTTATAACAGCAACATTATCAGCAACATCTTTTTTAGAGCCAGTTTTATCAGATAATATTAAACGTTCACAAAGATGTGGAAACATTTGCCTGTGATCACCAATAAAATAAGTGTGGGGCATGTAAGCTAATTTTTCACTATATTGAGATGCTAATTCCACAGGTGAGGTTACAATATCGGTAATTATATAATCCATAAATGGGGCACCACTTGTACCTGGATAACCAAGCCACATAACCTAAAAATAATGCTTCAACTTAACAATTGCTATGAATAATTATTTTCTATAATGATAGTATTACTTTTATGTTTAACAATCTTATTTTATTAGAAGATAGTAATAAATAATCACAAATAAATTAAATTTAATTTTGGTATTTAAAATTTCCATTTTTATTATTTATAACTTTAAAATATATTTAAAAGAAAAAAATATTAATTTATAATTTTTGAGAATGTGATGCACAATGTTCAATATATAAGATTCTACATAAAATAATAAAATAGCAAATATTTTATAACCTATGATCATATTTTTAAGGACTATTTTAACAAAATTTATTTCTCACCTGTATAGGAGCTGGACGTAAAGCAAATATTTCATTTCTTGCTCCTTTAGTGTAACCATTCATATTTACTAAAATATGAATACCATCACTATTAATTTTATCAGCTGCTTTACCATTACATGGAATCTATTAAAAAAATTAATTTAATGGTAATTATAATACAAGAAAAATATTTTATCCAGTAAAAATAGTCTGAAAAAATTACTAACATGGGAAAGGTCAATAAAATGCTCAGATTCTCTAGCAATTTTTGATCTGAAAGTAGTGTTATCATCTGGTGATAAGGCATAGCAAAATATTTCTACTGTATCTCTATTATGAAGTCCAGGTATTGATTGCATCAAGTGTGATGTTGGATGATTACCAAAATCTGAAGACACATAACCAATACGTAATCTGTTTCCAGGCGCTAATTCTTTCACATATTTATATGATGGCTTATGCAAAACTTGAATTTTTTCCAAACACAAAGCAGCATGTCGTCCAGCAATTGCTTTACGAAATGAGTGTGATAGTGGATACAACATAGAATGATGAGGATGTACAGAAGGTAAACGATTTTTTTCCAATTGTTCAGCCACAATGTTAACTAATTTCTTCATTCGAGCTTCATAATCAGTCCAATCACAAACAATTTGTAAGCAATGAGCTAAATTGCAGTATGCATCTGGAAAATCAGGTTTCAATCGCAATGCAGTTCTATAAGAAGCTATAGCTTCAGGTATATTTCCAGAATCTTTGTGAATAGATGCTAAATTACTATGTGCATCAGCAAAAGCTGGATTTATTTGAATGGCTCTAGAGTAACATTGTAAAGCATTTTGAACATCTTGCATTTCTTTGAGAGTATTTCCCATGTTTGAATATGCATCTGCAAATGTAGGTTGAATACGGATGGCCTCTTGATAGTGGTTCAATGCTTCTGTTAATTTTCCCTGTTGTTGAAGAACAGAAGCTAAGTTGGAGTGAGCAGCAGCAAATTCTGGGAATACCTCTAAAGCCTTCAAGTAAAGTTTGGTTGCTTCTTCTATATAACCTTGTTCTCTTTTTATATTGGCCAAATTGTTTAATGAATCTGCATGAGTTGGACATAATTTCAAAGCTGTGTTGTAACATTCTTCCGCATCAGATACCTAATGAATTATTTTAATAAAAATAAAAAGATGTCATAAAAAAAAAAAAAAAAAAAAAAAAATTTTTTTAACTTTTTTCTATTNAAAAAAAAAAAAAAAAAAAAAAATTAACTCTAAAATAAAAGTAAAAATATTTTGTACCTGTCCTTTTTCTTTTAGAGCATTAGCCAAATTGCAATATGCATCGGGGAAATTGGGTTGTAACTCAATAGCACGGCGGTATGTATCAATAGCCAAGTCAATAAGTCTAAAAATGTTATAATCATTTATATCAATACACTGCCACAAATAAATTAAGACACAATAAAAATAAGTGAAATAAAATTTCACTGTCACTTGTTGATTATTAGAAATCTTAAAACAGTTTATTCAAAGTACAATAAAAACTTACAGGTTATTTTTTAATTAAAATAAATTTACACTTACCCTTGTTCATAGTAAACACAAGCCAAATTTCCATGTACCACTGCATTATTTGGGCTCAATGCCAATGCTCGAAGATACGCTGATACAGATCTAAAACAAAATTAAACTATTTGTAGAAATTTTAGAAAACTATAAAATTATATAAACTAATTTGAATAGGCTATTAAAAAAAGACTACATAAAAAATAAAATAATTTGTTTTCATTCAAAAAATAATAGTTTTAAAATCATTCATCAGAAGTAAAATTATAAATGAATCTTATAAAAAGGAGAAATCAAAGATGATCAAATAAAATTGATTATTTATTGTAGTTAATATTTTGCACGATATTTTCAAACAGACATGAAAATTATTAAAACTTAATAAGATTACATCATTTTCTAAATTTAGGTTAAATTTAAACTAAAACTTGCATAATCTTTAATTCGTTAACCAAAAACTGAATAGAGTAATAATAAAGAAAATTAAAAAAGATCGGAAATTAATGAAGAATTCATTTGAGTATACAAAAACTGTTAATATACTATTTTCTAATTAAACATAAGACGATTTATTTAATAAAATTTTTTAAAGTAAAAAAAAAAATTACTCAATCTTAAATTTTGATGTAAAATAACTTATATAAGGCAATTGAGGTAACGAAGGTTTGTTTAACCAATTCCAGAAAATTGTGTTCGACAGAAATGTTAAATGATTACAATTGAAAAAAGAAAAGGTTTTGTCTATATATTATTCAACAAAATATATTTACTTAAAATATAGCTGAGTGAGTAATGGGTTTCTCATAGAAAACATCATCGATCTACCAAATCTATTACCCGGATCACTGATTTTTTTAATTATAATGGAAATTTTATCTAATGTGATTAAAATGAAGTCGATATATAACAGACATTAAATATAATGTGAAATTTGATCAACTAAACATAATGATTAAGGTATAATAACCGAGTGTGCAAGAAGTATTTGAAAATACTGTTTAGACAGTAGTTCCTATGAAGACGTTATACTTAAAAAAACGATTGTAGTTCACAGGGATGCTGTAGAGTAAGAGCACACTAAAATGTTATTCGCTCCAGGCTCATACATAAAAAAAAATAATAATAAATAAAATCCGACAAAATGACATTTATATAGAGTAGCCAAAATTTACATAGTTCTTTATTGTTCCTATTATAGCCCAACTAAGCTCGCAACAATATTGCATCCAAAATAGTTTTTATTTTACCGTAACATTTATAAGAATGGAAAATGTGTATAATATTTTTTATGGCTGATATTATGCCCAAAATACTTCCTTTAATTACTCCATTTCTTCCATTCTCTTTTGTTTTCTTATATTTTCCTACACAGTTCAAAATAGAAAAATGTTAAGATAGTTTTTCTCATTTTAATGTTTTTACTACGTCATTGAAGTAAAAGGATTTACAATTCAATAAAATTATTATTTTATCAAAACCTATTGTCAAAGTTAAATTTAAGAGAAAGTTTTTCTTAATTTTAATTATAGTAGTAATCTAAACTATTGAGATGAATTATGGAGCTTTTTTTCTGTAGCTTTTTTAGTTCAATATTTTTTAGTTATAAATTAATGTTTAAAATAATATAGCCGCTAGTAATCAATTCTTTTTGTATATTACTAAGTGAACAAAATTTCATTATTGTTCACAATTTTAGATCATTCTATATATTAAACTTAAGAAAATAATGCGATACAAAAGAAATCCGAGAAATAAAGTTTACAAGTCAAGAAACCGAAACAAAGTACTTTTCATTCTAGAAAAGTTGTTATTAAGAAACTTTAATATCTAATGTCAGAAATGAACTTTGATATCATTTTTTCGATTAATGTGTAAAACTCGGTCTTTTTCAATACAATCATAAAAACTGTTTGAAATTAAAACGTCCTTTAACTTTCTATGTAATGTGATAGGATCAACTAATAAATTATATTTATAGCAATTTATTTAACATAAGGTAATATTTTTGTAACTTGATCGTTAAAAAGTTTTACCACTAGACTGACTGAAGGAAAAAAATAATATAATCACAGAGAAAAATAAAGAAAAAACTACAAATTGTATACACGATGACAAAATTTGTTGTGCATAATTTCTAATAAAAAAATATATATATATATTTATTGTGTACTTTATCTCATCATTTATAAAACCTTATTGAAAAATTCTTTCACAAAGCTCTAATCATTTACGCAAACATAGGTCGTTTTAGTTCTACACCTGTTTATGAACTCGTTGGATTTGTTCGCATGTTTAAAGATATTTTTTATTATTAGGCCTCAACACAAGTACAATTAACCAAACAAAATAATAATTATCATAATAAATACATCAGTAACGTGGTTTTTCTCTTGTAGTTACACCAATCCGAAAGACGCATAGAATTTATTTTTAATATGGAAAATATATTTTTTTTTATTAGTTTTTTGTTTATGCACTAGGTTATCTCGTTTACCCTTTTCAATCACCCAGTGAAACACATAATGTTATTATTAAAACCGTGACATGCAAATGTGTATGTGGTTTGAAAATTCAATTTTCCAATGGTAAACCGCCACCACAACGTTATAATCCGTTTGAATATTATAAAAGTCTGTTCACTAAAAGGTACCTATAATAAAGGGAGTTATGTAATTCCCAAAATCATTTCCGAACGCGATACATAACAATAACAGTAAAGGCAAAAACACAAGCGGAGAGGCGAGAAAAACATTTTCCTATATTGAAAATTATTAGCAGTCTTGTGACGGTAATTCACAACACAATATCTTCGTTCGTGCTTTGGCATCGTTTCTCCTTCATTTTGGTTATTACTAAGAACACGCCAAATCGATTTCAATAATAAAAAAAAAAACACTCTCAAATCTCGTTAAATTTTTTACCACGACATTTGTCACAACAAAAGAAATATTTAGATTAATTTCCAAATTTTCAAATAAATTGTCTTATAACAGTACATACGCCATTAAAGTAAATAAGATTTTGTGAAAAATAAGCACATATAAATACTATTTACACAGGTGTTATAATGATAAATGATATTATAAATTTGATACACTTGTTTACCTTGAACGTAATATTGTGTTCAAGGAAAAAAACTGTCAGATATATATTTTTTAGGTTTGATTGGCAAAAAAAAAAAAAAAACACCAGGGTTGTTAGAAAAAAATAATCACATGGATGATATACAGTCAATTTTAATTTAATGAAGAAATATAATAACACATGAACACGAAAAGTCCATTTTTACCCAGCTAGACTAAAAATGTTAAAATAACATTTTTTATAAAAAAAAATGTTCAACTTGGCCGACAAGCTCCAGGTTTTATAATACGCGTTTGCTTTATTGTGTACCTATATATTTTAAAAGCAATTACTTTGTCCGGTAAATTTGTAATAACTGTCAAAAGGAAACTTCAAATGAGATTCATAAATTTAGACTGATTCCCAAAGAATAAAAACTTAACTGAAAACAATATAATAAAAAAAAAATTACCTAAAAATACAAAAAAATAATTATATACAACTAATTTAAAGTTAATTTTTTTAAAAAATTCGGTAACAAAATAATTAATTTAACATTATCAAATAAATTACAGGTAACAGAAATATTCAAAATAACTTTATTATAAAGGTATTTTTAAAACTGACCAGAACTAAACGCTTCATTGAAAAATGGAAATTAACTAACAATAATAATTTTTAAATACTATTTGAATAATTAATGTAAAACAGATTATTAATTTCGGAAAAGCAAAACATTATTTAAAATCAATAAAACGTTTTTGTTGGCCAATATTAATAAAATCTATACAATTAATTAAGTTATTACATAATCAAATTATTGTATTAATATTATTTTAAGTACTTAAAAGTTTTTCATAATTGGACAAAATTCGTTGGTTTCATTACACAAATTAATTGTTGAAGTTTATACAAATAAAAAATCCATTTAATTGCTTAATAATATAACAAATATTATTCTAGTGCTGTTGACAACGTTTCTTGCAAAAATATTTTTATAGAAATTTGTTTTATGAAACTGTAGAGCAAAAACGTTCAATTATATCTCACATGAATAAAAAAATCGTGTTCACCGTATCGTGTCGACTGACAAATGTAATTGAAGTACTATAAATGACTTATCGATCATCGACAGGTTGTGGAAAACAAAGAAGGCGCGACGAAAGAACAATGAAAAATGAGAAAAATAACACACATAAGGACAAAAAGGTTTTGCAATAATATCAAATGTATTGATTCTCTTAATTCAATCTATACAGAGTGATTTACTTATCATGAACCACTCAATTAATCGAAAAATAAAAATAATACCCAAATTTTTTTTTTGTTTCCTTTAAGTACATGTTTTTTTCAATTTATCAATCATGAAGTTTTTTTTTGTTTATCTCTTCACTTTTTATAAGTTTTTATAAAACTTAAATTTTTCAAATGACACATATACTTAACTAGCTTATTTAATAGATAATGATAAAATTAAGAAAATGACTGACCGATAACAACTTATGTTTTCAGTAGAGATTAACAAGTAATGACTAGAGGTGAAGAGTAAGAGCTGTTATTTTTATAACTAGACATTACCCGGCCGTTTTCTTCTTTTCTTATAGATAAAAACATGTCGATAAATTTCGAAAATTTTGGTCTAAAATTTGTTATTCACTGTCATTTTGTTAATTATATCACTATTTATTAAATAAGCTAGTTAATTATGTGTGTTGTAATTTGAAAAATTAAGAGAAACAAATTAAGAAAATTATTAATATTATTTTTATTCTATTTTATCAATTAAATGGTCCATGATAAGAGAATCGCCCGGTATACGTTAAGAAAGTGACATGGAATTTTAATAAGACTAACATGTACACACAACAAATATTTTGGATGAAGTAAAAAAAAATTTCGACGATGATCTTTATAAAACAACTTATTTTCGATTTTTATTCTAAAAATCAATATTATAAATGTAATTTATTACATAGGGTTCTGGAATGTGAAATACATTTTGTTTCTTTTACAAAATGAAGGTGTCCAATTTACTAATGTAGAAA